CTACCCAAAACCAGGAAAAGAACCACCCAAAAGGATTAAGGAAACAATTTCTCAAGTTCACACATGTTTGGGAATAGTGTATGTTCCTACTAGCCAGACTTGAAGACCTGATAATTCACAGGACATCAGATACAGTACTCAGAAGGGTTTTTCATCATTAGTGGGGTACAGTTAACTCTAAACTAAACATTACTGTGCTCCTACCTTACAAAGGTTAAAATAAAGAACCTAAAAGTTCCGACTGTTTACAAGTGACTTAACTGTGTCCCAGAATAAAAATATATTTGAAGGATACAAAAATATCTAGCACTCAGTAGGTAAAACTCACAATGTCTGGCCTCCAATCAACAATGACCAGGCCTGCAAAGAAGCGTGAAAATCTAACCCATCATTAGGAGATAAATCAATCAATCAAAACTGACCAACAAATGACAAAGATGATAGAATGAGACAAGGACATTAAAACAGATATTATAACTGCATTACATATGCTCAAGAAGCTAGAGGAAAGATTGAACATGTTTAGTATAGAGATGGAATATAAAAAATATAAAAAGACCCAAATAGAACATCTAGAGATAAAAACTACAATGTCTGAAATGAAAAATATGGTAGATGGGGTTAATGGCAGATTAGACATTGCAGAAGATTAATGATGCTGAAGACAAAGAAATAGAAACATTTCAAAGTGAAACACAGAAAAAAACTGAAAGAAATGAACAGAGCACTACTGAGTTGTGAGACAACCATATTGGTAATCACTTTAAATGAAAATGACCTAAGCCCTCTAATTGCATACAGAGATGGTCAGAGTGGATAAAAAGCAAGACTCAGGCCCTGATATCTGAATTTATGGAGAAGAGAGGGCTGGTTGCACACACAAAAAAGCACAAACACAAAGAGAAAAAGGCTTTTTTTTGCTAAAAATATACAATGTACCATGGTCCAAGCATCACTAAAATAGTACCCGCCTAAGCTAGTACAACTCCAAGTCGGGTAGAAAGTCTTTATGCACACCTCTGTAAGAGACAAACTGGGACACTGGCACATTAAGGTGTCTAGAGAAATCTAGTAGTGCTGAGCGGGGTGGGGTGGGGTGTGGATCACCACAGCAGAAGAATGGAATTGACTTGTGACGTACAGTTTGGATGCTACTTCCAACAACTGAGGGGAATCTGAAGAACTTGGGTCATGCACGTGCAGATGAACATACAGATCAAAAGCTCTTTACCTCTTGGCTCTCACAGCAGCCCAGGAAATTATTATCACCATTTTACTAATGAACGGAGTAAAATGAACTAAGCATTGTCATGGTAATATCTACTAAGTTTATATTACTAGCTAAAGAATTCAGAAGTAATTTGAAATTCATTATTCTTGATTGTTGCTTTTTCACTAAGTTTTCGTTAAGCTTTTACTGTCTTTGAGTTGATTGACACATTTAGTTTGCTTCCTCTCTTAAAATATCAAACTTTAATATAATTAGAGATTAAGCAATACTTATTAAATTAGGGAAAATAGATAAAAACAAAATTAATTTATACTCATGTTATCTTAGTAAAGGAAACAGGATATTGAAAGTAAGATTTTAAAATTTCTTTCTTGATACAGTTTCTCTTCTGTTCCAAAGTAACCACAAGAATAAAAACCACTTTAGAATGCATATTTTACAATCAGAAACACAACAAAGTTCTTTTCTTTTGTGGGAAAATGATTATTTTTTAATTGGCATACATCCGAAGATTTCTCTCTTCATGTGAAATTCAAAGTTTATTTTTACTAAATAGAAAATCTTTTCCATCAGCTACAAGGGAAGGAGTAAATTTCCAAACAGGTTAATTTTAACTTTTAAAACAATTTTGAGGTAAAATTAAAAATACAAATAAATATTATCAAGACTTTTGAATTTACAAGGATGCCTTATTTATTTGGTAAGGTATACTGATATCACTTAGAAAGCATGCTGATTGGTACACATGAGATAGCAACTACATTACATGCTATCTGCTTGAGAAGTTAAAAATGGAATCTTTCTAAATAAAATCAGTGTTCTTATCATATATGTGAGGTGAGGAAAGGAGACAGAATCAACATGGGACTTTGTCTATTTCATTCATGTAATCTAGTCCTTTTCCTACTTATGGGACAACCTTTTTTCAGTGAGGAAGATTGGCCCTGAGTTAATACCTGTTGTCAATCTTGCTCTTTTTGCTTGAAGAAGAGTGGCCCTGAGCTAAAATCTGTGAGTCTTTCTCTATTTTGTATGTTGGATGTGGCCACAGCATGGCTTGATGAGCAGTGTAGGTCCACGCCTGGGATCTGAAACTGTGAGCCCTCGGGTGCCAAAGTGAAGCATGTAGAACTTAACTACTGTGCCCTGTGCCAGCCCCAAAGGGACAACTTTTAAGTTTCATAAATAAATAGTTCTGTCCTGTTCTATTAAATAAATGTATTCACTTAATGTTCCCAAATTTGCCAACTGAGAGTGGACCTGCTAAAATGTGATAACTGTTTTTTTCACAGTTTTGAAAAACAGGAGCTAAGCGAAAGTTGGTCAAATGTGATCCAATTAGCTTGATGAATGGAGAGGAAAGATAAAAAATAAACATAACAAGCAAAAATGTGTCTCGTTGGCAGGGGCTTTGAAAGAGGCAGTATTTATCTTAAGAGGCTCTAAGCCTGGCTTTATCATGACTAAATATAGGATGATGATTAAAAACCTTTAGAAGTATTTTCATTTGGATGATTATAGTTTTGTTTATATTCTTCCTTATATCTTTTACATAATCCAAATATGTATAATCACCTTGTATTACATAATTATAAAAAGTATTACATTTTAAAATATTCCTCATAGAAACTTTTAAAACAGGAAAGTGTAAAGAAATAAACCACCCACAAACTCAATAATGTTAATTGTTGTTATGTATTATTTTAGATAAATTACAATTGTTAAAAATTAATAATTAAAATAATAAAAGAAAATTAAATGCATTGTTATTAAATATCTACTATATCAGGCACTATGCTAGAAACAGAGCTCTAGGATGATCAAGAGAACATCATTGTTGTAAAAGGGCAGAGGCTTGCATAGAAATGATAATGCCTAATTTATTTAATAATTTTATAATTATTATAAATTTATTATTAATAGATTCATGATAATGCATTAATTTAATATGTATTTAGAAAGATAAAAATAGTACTGGTTTAAATATAAACATACATTGATTGTTTAGTGCAGTCCAATTTTAGAAATATTGTCTTTTGGACAGGTATATTCATTGTGGAATCAAATAAGTAAGGTAATTTAGATCACGTTTGTAAAATGGTGTGCTCGCTGTCAGTGTTTCTTTCTGCCTCAGCTGTCAGAACTCAGATGCATCAGAATCACCTGAGGAACTGTTAAAACAGTGGTTCCTGATCAGGTGATCATGGGGTGACCACGGGGGCTGGGAGTGGGAAGGGCACCAAGTGTCAGCATTTTTAACCTTTTCCCTAGGTGCTGATGATGCAAGTAAGGGGTCTGTGTTTATGTAAACACTGGTGCATACAAGCTTTAAAGAAAAAAAGAGTACAGGTTTTGGTTTAGAGACTTCTTGCTATGTTCCTTTGGAAATAAAAATACTTTCCAGTTAAGTAGTTACTTGCCTTAGGCAACGTAATTAAGGACAGTTAGGAACAGTACTGAGCTGGGTTCTGAATTCCATTATAGTTAATAATCAATCAAAATAATTAATAATTAAATATCTATCATGTCAGGCACTACACTAGAAACCCAGCTCCAGGATGATTTAGACAAAATCATTGTCTCACATAAAAATGATAATGCCAAATATTTAATGTAGCTTTTACGAACTTACAAAGTAGTTTCATGTTTCAAGTGTGGAAGGGATAGAAATGGCAAAGGAGTGTTTCAGTTTTAAAATGTGTCCCCCTAATGTAACTTACATGTCTTCTGGCTAAGTCTGTTAAACTGGTTGGGCAGGCCTGTCCAGATGGTTTTGAGAAAATCCCTGCGAAGGATAGAAACACAGGCAAAACAAAGCTTTCAGCCTGTTTGTGTTTTGGAGGTTTGAAGCAGTGCATTCTGGGCACACCACGGTGAGACATTTAGATGTATCTCCTGAGCTAGGCCCCAGTGGATTCATGTCTCAGTTCTTTGAAGAGGAGCATAAAAATAAAACCAAAAAGGGCTATCTTGTTAAGAACCAATGTAAGACCAAGAACCACAGGAATGGTACTCACTTGGATAAAGATAACTGTAAAGTGGGGACAAAGGCATTCTTCACACTTCTATGGAGGTCAAAAGGGTGATTTAGCTTACAAGGAACCCCAGAGAAATCAGATTTTTGTCACCTTGAAGACTCTAGCACATCAGCAACAGAACAGAAACAGGACCCAGCAGAAGGGAAAGTATGCCCAACTGACATGGCAGTAATCAGGGGAGGCGTATTGGAAATATCAGAGGAATAACAAGGTGGAATCCACTTATTTTTGCCCTCTGGACTTGTGAGCGTGGGTGAAAACTCCCTTTAGTCCTTCCCAAGTGCCTGACAGAGGCCAGGGTCCTATTAAATGCTGGGGAGTTGCATGGGAGGTAGCCCAACACAGTTCCACAACTCATCTATTCTACTCAGCAGCTCCGTAAGGCAAGCATTAGCCCCCATTTCACAGAAGAAAAGACTGACTCTTTAAAGAAATGTATCTGTAATAAAGGGTTTATTTTTCCAGTTAAGACTGGAAGATACTTAAAGTTCACTCTTTAAGTTTGTTGAACCGGTAATTATCATGTACCTGAACTACGTTCAGACTTACCAAGAAATTGTTTTCATTGCTTCTAAAACTCCAGATAATAAAAGGAAAAAAGTCACATGTTATCCAACCAGAGAAATGTACCCCAATTAACACCCTGGGATATTTGATTTCAGATTTTTGGGAGGTCCACATACATACATACACACACATATATATATATATATAAATGAAACAATAATGTATAGATTGCTTTTTAAGTGCTTTATTAACTTTACATTTTTCCATGCAAATGGGTGAAACTTTACTGATGACAGAAACTTAGACTGGGTGCCAAGGCAATCTCCAATTAGAAGCTGGTAACACAGAACCCATCGGACACATGGAAATTACATAAGGTTCACAGCAAACGATCAGTAAAGGCATAAGAGGAAAATGCAAAGAAAACAATAGTGGGAATCACAGTATTAATCTCATGGAAAATGGCAGGAGTTAAGGCATAAGGCAAAATTCATCATGATGGTCATGGTGATTAGAGAGCTCCCCCATAAGGATACGCAGACAATTCCTCAACTGCAGCTCCCTAAGTTTTCTCCTGATTTCTCTCATCTCCTCCATGAACATTTCCATATCATCTCCATCTCCACCCATCCCATCATTGACCTGCCTATTGGGTATGGCCCATCGGAAATTAGGGGCAAGTCGGCGAGCCTGTCCCCGTCTGTTATTTCCTGCAGGCTGGTGGCCTTCGCCCCCTGCCAAAGGGCGGTCTTCCTCTCCATTCTGCATGGGCTGCTCCATTTCTTCGTTTTCCTGGTGGATATTGGCCATGATGAGACTTTTTTTTTTTCTGGTTGTTTTTCTTTGAACACAAGTAAGACAAAGGCAAGGAGAGAGACTGAATGCTTGGTACAATGATCAGCAGGATTCAGAGCCCTGATAGGAAAGGCTTTTTAAAATTTCATGTTTTCCCCACCTTCGGAGCTTCTTGCGCCCTCTAGGGGGCCTCCAATTCGAGCCCCTCCCTCCGGCTCTCTCCTTTTCCCTCCCCCACCAAAGCCCACCATTTTTCCTTTCCCAGGATTCTTTCCCAGAGCGCAGCAAACACCAAGATGGAGGACGGGGGACGGGGAAGTTGAGCGGGGGTCTCACACTGGGCTCTGCCCCCACCCCCACCACTGTGCCCGCACCGACCTGGGCCTATCCTTGCCGTCTCCTCCTCCTCCCGATTCTCGCCCCAAGTGAGCCGCCGCGACACTTGACACTTGGACCCGCAGATCTGCAGAGGGACGGAGTGGAGAGAGCGGGGACTGCTGCCAAGCGCTCGGCGCCAACCCGCCGCCGCCCGGCCCCTTCCCAGCCAGGGCCCCCGGCCCCCGGCCGCCTCCGCCCCACGTCTCTCGTCCCCAGCCCCCAACTCCCCGACCCGGGCGTTCACCATTTTCCTGCAGGAACTCGGGGGTGATTTCCCATCGCTCTTAGTTGCTCTGCCACCCTCCCTGGAACCCTGCCGCCCCTGCACCCACACCCCAGGGGGCCACTAGTTCTGTTCCCAAGCATGCCGGGTGTGGAGAAAGCAGGCCAGGATTCGCTGCGTTGATTCCCCGCCGGCCTCCGGGGTTGGCCGTCCGCTGCCGCTCTGGCCTCGGCGCGCGCCCGGGGCCCTTACCTGCTCCGCTTCCCCGGGCCCGATGCCAGCCCGCCGTGCGCAGGGCAGCGGGGAGCTGGTACCCAGACGGGAGTGACGACTGCTCGGAAGGCTGCGTCGCTCTGCAGCTCCCGGTCACGTGAGGGCCCCGCGTCACTGCCGAGCTCGCCCCCCAACTCCGGCGGCCAGTGCTGCAGGAACGCGCCCCCGCCTCCTGCACACGCACAAGCACAGACAAGCCTCTGCCTCTGCCTGTTAGCGCGTGGGGCCCCAGCGCGCAGCGCCCTGTCACTCATCTCGGTGTTCTCCAATCTGAAGGCCCACAAGAAGCATCACCTCCCTGCGGTTGGAGTTTGCACTTCTCTGGTTACCAAGGAGGGTCTGCTACACCCTCCACCCTCCCGCTCCCGCCCCAGGCCTTGGCTTTGGCCTTTCTGCTTTCTCTCCTCTCGTCGCTGTCTACAAGCTCCGCCACAACCCCCCACCCCCACTCCCTGCACTTGCACAGCCACCGTTGCCCACCATATCCCCTGAACTCATACTCTTCTAGGAAATTTAGAATGAGAGCTGGGGTGGGGAGGGAGCAGGGGACTTGTCAGAAGAGAGGTAAGAAGATAGAGAGGGCAGTATATATCCTTCCTAATAATTTTTATTTCCTTCTTTAAGAAATCATGCCTCAAAAAATTAAAAATTACAAGATTTCATTTTTGAAAGAAATGTTTCATCGCGCAGAATAAAAAAGCTTCGTTGTTTGATTATGTTCACCTGTGCCACACAGAAAATATTTTCCCTGGGTTCCACACATCGACATCACTTTTGAAACATACTAGCTTGTTTCAAAATTTTATTTTCAAAAAGGGAAGGCATCTTGCTGAACACAGTTGGTGTTTTCAACATGATCTGTACAGTAAATCTGTAGGGAGAAATCCAGTTGTCAGATCTTGGCCATTTTGTGTACATTTATGTGATGTTTTTGATACCACAGTCTTTGGAGAAAAAGAGCCTTTTTATTCCCTGCTTTCCTTTCCAAACCTTCCAGAGCACCCCTACAAATATCACCTTAGAACAGTCTCATAAGTATAGAATATGAAGAAATCAGTTCCAAAGCCATCTGCCTTTTGATGTGAATGTTTCAAAAAATAATAGAAATAAGCAGGGAGTATGTGAAGCTCCGAAACTTGAGACTGAAACTCATCTTGAGTGTAAATGTTCCTTCCTCCAAACTGAAATAAAATATTATCACAGCTAGAAAATAAAAATGTCTTTAGGAAAGTGACATTATTATAAAAAAATTTTTAGTACGTGTTGGTTGTGATAAAGAAACCAAAAGAATTATATGCACTGAGGCTAGACAGGCCAGACAAATGCTTACTGCCTCTAGTTTTGGCTCCAAACTGCTATGTAATCTCCTACACTGCTAAACTAGCTGGGACATTGAATAAAGGAAGAGGACATGCCTAGTGCGTATACAGTTTGAGGTTTTGGAACTATGTAAAATTTTATATATATATATATATATATATATATATATATATATATATATATACTTTTAGGAATATATAGATATGTTAATATATAGCTCCAAAAGGTCAAATTACAAAATCACACCCAATAACTGTCTTTAAAAGGAATAGTAGTGATTCCTGGATTCTGTCTCACAGTTAACAATTCTTCATACAGATAGCTCTGTTAGTGATGTTGGCTGGAAGATTGGCAACAGATGTTAGATCAGGGCCAATCTTCCTCACACACAAAAAGAATATAGAAAATTATGCCTACTCTAGTTTCCCTGTAAGCTATGGCCATTATAACTTTGATGTCAAGAACTTTGAAGAATGAAGAGTGGACCCCATGAAATTTTAAGGGTATTACTGTAAGAGTTTGAACATTTGAGAGAGAGTGTATTTCATTCAAGAGATCTAGTCTGAAATAATAACAGCTATGAGGCTAAGATGTCTGAATGTGAAAGCTACAAATATTCACTCACTATCTGATAGTACTCACTATCTTTTAGAGAGCCGAGGGATATTATGTTCTTTATTTCAGAGACTGCAGATGATATCTTTAGACACCAGAGACCCATGGCCACTCTTTCCTGTTGTTTAGGACTCTGGTAGAAAAGAAGTTCTGTGCTGTATAGTCTCCTAAACTGATTAATTGAGCTTGACTATGTGTAGGCCAAGGGAACTCCCTTGATCCTTCTAGCTTCAGGCCTAGGGTGGCCCCATTCCTACTTTCCCCTGACTTTGGGATGAACTTAGAGGAGTATCAGGAAATTTATGCATAAGTGTTCATAAAGGTCACTTTACCTTGCCTTACTGTTGCTAGTCCCATTTAAGTTCCATTACTAATACAGTTTTAGCATCTAGCAAGGTTCTAGTACTCAGTAGGCCCTGTTAGTTCAGGGGTTGCAACTCACATGGCCACAGGAAACATATGTGAGTTGGCTGAGCAGAAATCCAGTTAAACTGGGGAGCACGTGCTCTATCAAAATAGGACAGCCTCTGCTCACCTCTTGCCAATTATTGTCATGAGGCAATTCAGGTCCAAGGTTGCCAAATATTCCTTTTTTTTTCCCCAAGAGATATCAGAAATACAAAGGTTTATGTGAATTTTTTCCCTCCAAAAATGAGCTGCTAATTTAAAACCCTGAGGTCATTTTCTACCTTTACTTACACTTGCCTGACTCTATTTGGCTGACTTGCTAACATATTGCTTCAAGACTATTGCATACCTATCGCTATCACCTGCAGTGTGACATGTAACTCTTCCAGTTATCGATTGATAGGTAACAAATCATCCCAAAATTCACTGATGCAAACTATAACTGATATTTATGTTTACAGATTCTGTGAGTTAGAGATTCAGAAAGTGTACAGTGAGAACTACTCTTCTCTGTTCCAGGATGTCTCAGGCCTCAGCTAGGCTGGTTTGGCTGAGGGTAACTTGAAAGGCTGTAGATGACTCAAACAGCTGGGTCCTGGAACAGCTGAGACTGAGATGGCTGAAGGACAGGCTCATGTGGGACTATCAACCAGAGTTTCCACATGTAGCCTGTCCAACATGGCCATCGCAGGGCTTTAAGAGCATATGTTCCCTGTATACAAGGTGGAAGCTATATGGCCTTTAATGACCTAGGCTTCGAAGTCACATAGGATCAGTTCTGCTGTACTCCATTGGTTGAAACAGACATAGGTCCTCTTCCAAGATTCAAGGGTAGTGACTATAGACACCAACTCATTTTTTTAAAACCAGAAACTCTGGAGGTAAAGGAAGAGCCAAGCAATCTGGGGTTTAAGCAGCCCTCCAGGTGATTCGTGTGTGTGTGTGTGTGTGTATGAGGAAGCTTGGCCCTGAGCTAACATCTGTTGCCAATCTTCCTCTTTTTTTTTTTTCTCCTGAAGGCCCCCCAGTACATAGTTGTATATCCTAGTTGTAGGTTCTTCTAGTTCCTCTATGTGGGATGCCACCTCAGCATGGCTTGATGAGCGGTGCTAGGTCTGTGCCCAGGATCCGAGCCGGTGAACTCTCGGCCACCAAAGCAGAGTGTGCAAACTTAACCAGTAGGCCATGGGGCTGGCCCTAGACTCCAACTCTTGATGGGAGGAGTGACAAATAATTTGCAGCCATATTTTAAAACTGTCACACACTATACTTGTATGTACCTCTTACAATCCATTTGTTACCTTACAGCTAGACGAGGCAGTCAATATGTTAATGATACTTGTTTGATTACAATTGTTAAGTACAAGATAATTTTTGAATAGGACCTAAAATGGAATTTCCACAGCCTTGTTTCACCCATATTTTTCTTACCTTAAGGATTTCTAAGAAATTAATTTTTATAAGAGAAAAGTTTAGCATATTTGTCCACAATTATCCACCTGTGTACTGATTGAGTACTGATGTGCAAAGTCATCAGAAAGGATTGGAAATAGGAGAACAAAATAAACTGTGAGGCCAAAAGAATGGATTAGCAGGCTTATAGAACACTGGATTTTACAGTCATGTTTTCTGTGCCTTTGCCTAATTTTGAATTATAGGGTAGGATTTATGATCTCACTAGCAGTCCTAAACTTTCACAGATCATGTTTTGTCAAAACTGGAACAATCTTAGAATTATTTTTGTCCAAGAACCTATTTTACAAATTGAGACACCAAGACACAGAAAAATTAAGAGATTTTCCTAGGTTACCAAACAAGATAGTGTCAGAATTAGGAATAGAGCCACCCATGCTTTCTTGGCTAATGCTATTTACTTATTTATTTACCTTCTAGGTTTATACACATTGTATATAATATCAAAGGAGATTTATGATTTTCCAAATATTCTACAATAAATTAGGTAAATGTGAGAATAAGGAAGACATTATTTTTAAAGACTAGTAAAACTGATAATTTTTATATGTTGATAGTATAGATGATTTTTATCTATAACTAAAGAGTAAACTTTCTCTCTCTCTCTCTCTCACACACACACACCCCTCCTCCCTTCTCTTCTTCCCCCCCACTTTACACTCCTACCCCAGCTGCTGAGTCAGGGGCTACATTTCCTGTCACAAATCTGAGATTCAGACATTATTAGCATGACAGTATCTTGTGCCACATTTTACACTTAGAAACCTATGCCTGGTGACTTGGTGCCCCTGCTCCTTCCTCATCCCCTCCCATTTAGTTGTCCTCATCTTTAAGATTAAAGATGCATTTCTGATGCTGGTCATCAGGTGGTGATTATCTCTATTTCGAAATTGTCTCCAAGGAAAATGTATCCTTTTTGCAAGTAGAAAAAAAATCATTAATTATATTCCTTTTAAATTAACATTATGAAATATCACACACAGAATTATCCTAGTTTTCTTAAACATGCATAGTGATGAAAATAAAATAAAATAGCACTTAATATAAATGCTCCTATATGCCAGGCATTGTTGTATACGTATATTCATTACTTCATTTTATCCTCCCTCAAGTCCTATGAGGTAGGTACTAATATTATCCCCCATTTTACAAATAAGAGAATTGCAGGACAGCAGGGCTAAGCAATAGATAGGAGGTGGTAGAGCAGGAATTCAAACCTATATAGTCTAGTTCCTAAGTCTATGGTCTTAACCTCTACTCAGTTTCATTTATTAATAAGTCCCAAATATATATCTCATTCAATCTTTAATTCATCGATTGTTTGAGCTTTTTCCTGTGCTAGGCACTGCCTGCCCATTCCACATCTCAATCTCAGTACCATATTTAGGAGTTCTGATTCCCAGGCTGTAGCTCTTTCCACTTAATAAAAATAAAGAAATATACTTTTAGTTCA